AAATAAACCGATTGCATCTGTACTTAATGTAACAAAGTAGCTGGTTGTTGTTGTTGTTGTTGGGCTTAACGCCATTTTTCAGCACAAGATATGCTATTCATGGCGGCCAGTATTAATGGTGGAGAAAGAAACCGGGAAATCACCGGAAAGAACCACCGACCCACGAGAAGCTACTGGCAAACTTTCTCACATATCTACATTAGCCGAATCCTAGACTCGAACACACGCAGACAGAGGTGAGATGGCAGTGATCCGTAACGGACAGCGCTTTAGACCACTCGGCAACTCGGGGCCCCTATCAAAGTAGCTGGTGTACGATTTTCATTTTATTTTTACCAAAATTCAGAGTTGTTATTTACTGATACACACTCGCTGGTTATAATATCAAATGTGAAAATATCAATCAGAATATTTACAATAACAAAATCTATTTCATTTATTAAATTATCCAGCATGGAGTGGATTTTAAGATAATTCGAATAAGAAATTTATTGGAAAAATGAAAGATGAATTTATGTTTATCTCAGTTATGGAATTTGTCGGACTAAAGAGTAAGATGTATAACTGTCATATTAGATGACAACAAACATACAGAAAGGTAAAAGATATGCGAAAAAGACGATGAATTTTGACGATTTTAAAGCAGAGCTAAAAAATAATGTCAGTTGTTTTTAAAACAAATGTTATCAGAACAAATCGACACAAATTTGAAATGGATACAATCATAAAACGGGGACTAAGTAATTTTGATGATTAAAGGTATTGCTGGGACGGAATTAATACACTAGGACTTGGACATTATGCAATTAATTATGTCATTAAAATCAGAAATACTGTTCGAAAATTTAACATAATTCGATGGAGTTCATAACAGGATGAATGGAAGAATAATGGTTAATAATCAGCAATTATCATTTGAATTTAGCGATGAAATTTCAGGAATTTGTTTTAGTAATTTGACAGAATCAAACTCTACTTTATCAGATCAGACGATAGCAGATATTTAAAATTTTCTGAAAGTTTGCGAGACAAGCTTGCACTAAAATATGACAATTTTCACGATCCGATCAGCCAAAAGCAAAACACAAAAATTAATATAGGCATAGACCGGTCAAAGGTTTTAGGAAAAGGAAGTCATTATCTTTTCAATAAGATAGCAATGAAAGATCTCTTTGAATGTCGTTGAAAAGTAACCTGTAAAATTAATTTTTGTTTGGTATAATTTTGAAAATAAATTGTACCTAATAGCGAATTCTGAAACATTGTTCATTGGCCAAGAAATATAACTTTGTAAGTCTTATGTGCGTTTAAAAGGGAGATAAAACTGTTTCAGCTAAGTTTAAAATCTTTTGTAGTTATCGAACAAAGCATATACTGTAACATTTGCTTTGTATTTGTTTGGCTAATAAGATCTAAATCCTGGTGGCAGTCCTGTTTTTACCGAAATGACTTACAATGTGTCTTGCATAATACTAGTAAATTGCCTAATTGCCTTATAAATAAATAAATAAATAAATATAAAAAAATATATATATAAATAAAAATAAATATATATATATAAATATATATATATATATATATATATATATATATATATATATATATATATATATATATATATATATATATATATATATATCTATATATATATATATATATATATATATATATACAATTACATAAAAACCCATTCATACAGGATATTGATTATTTCTCTGCAGAGTCTCTCTTTGTAATGTATTCATTCGTTGACAATTATTGATTAGTGTCCTTGGCTACGGTTGATCGATACAGCCACTGTATTCAGCCAACATTAGGATTTCTTTTTTCTGTACAGATTTATATAGAAAATATCTTTTAATAAAAAGTCATGTATTTTCTCAATTGATTTATAATAACGCTTTCAGAATCAGAAAATGTAATGTAAAATTTCATGATTTTAGAATCAAAATATGTAATACTGTTTGATAACTATATAATAAGTATTTTATCATGTACGTATAATTGAATTTCATTGCTCAGTGTTAGAATGCTGGATTCTCATGCTGACGCTCTGAGTTCAATTTCCTCAGCAGAAAAACTCGATGTGAAGGATCTGGATGCTATTTTCAAAAGAGTGGGGTCCGGAAAAATCGTCGATATCCAGCAAAATAAATACACTCTCCCACCATGTCAACACATGGTGGGTGCATCATTGCACTCACAGGATTGTGACATGATGGGGGAGTGTACAATATTTGTTAGACGTAGATTAATCTCCCGTTTATATGTGCCGTCCCTGTAAATCCTTTATTGCAAATATGCGTAAATACTTTGATTTGAATACTGTAATGTAAATATAATTGCTGTAAATACGCTACAGTAATTAAGATTTTTGTTTTGTGCCGTCCTTAATTAAGATTATATGTATCTGTGCCATCTACAAAAACCCTTATAACTGCTGTAAATATCCTTGCTGTAAATACACTACCAGCGTGTAAATACGCTACTGTAATTAAGATTATGTATTTAATTGATGTTAATATGTTTGGTGGATATACGCTACAAAAGCAGTCCTCTCTGAGGAACATAATTTTTATTGTTTTAAACAAATATCATTATCAAATAAAACATCAATTTATTGTCAATAAATGTCATTGGATCACCAGCCCAACCTTTTATTCGTTCGTCATTTTCAGTCGCGAATAAGTATACTGATCCATATTTTGGTGATATATGATAACCAGCATTTTTGATACAATTGCTTATTATTTTAGTTGTTATGCCAGTATAGCTTGAGGCTGCCCTAATCGAATTAAATATTGTCCAGAATTTGTTTTTCAGATCAAATACAACATGTCGGATTGGATTATATTGATACATTACAAATAATATTTCATTGTTTGATATGAAAAAAATATTGGTATAAAATCCTTTTCGAATTTCAAAATTTCATAAGTTTTGAGGTAAAAATATGGAGGAGGGTGGTTATTTGAGGGGGTATCTGTGGTGATAAAAAATGTCAGAATATATTTTTTTTAGAGGGAGTGGGGGTTTCTGACCTTAATCCCTCTTTGGTTTTAAAATCTCAACTACTTATACTACTAACAGGATGATGAGATAGATAAGGAAGGAAAAGAGAAGGAAGATGTCTAAACCTAGAATGTCAGTCCTGGTACCTCTCAAGAGGAGGAAAGTAGCAACACCAAAGAACCACCACATGTCGAATCTGTTAGCAGGTCTAAACAAAAATACAACTCACATAAATCCTATGTCAGAGAATCACACTCTTGGAATACAAAGCGATGAAAAATAACCCCAGAAAACTACGAAAGTGGAGTAATTACCACAAACTCATAGACGACACAGATATAAACGCGGACACGGAAAACAATTCAGACAATTCAGACAAGTAAGACAGTGAAATAGAAAAGGATGATGGAAGTGAAGACGAGAAGAATCAGCATGGAGAAAGTATGTACTTGAAAATAAACAAACACTGGACCACAATGGGTTCACCTAATGTAATTCGCATAATCTATTTCTAGAAATTTAAGTATTATACATTTTTGAACACGAAGTAATTTGTTAAAATGACTTTTGACTAAACAGCACCAATACAAGGTAACAGTATTGAATAAAGACGAATACTATCAAAATTAAGGTAGTGACCAAGGAAATTGTAGCACATCTAGCTAGATAAATATAATATTCTACGTTTACGGGAAACTCTTAACATCAAAGGGAAATGAATCAATGTATTGAATAGAAGCTATATGTCATTTAAATATGAAATGAAAAATAAACTACCTGGAAAGTTTAAACGATGGGGTTAAAATCTTGGGATGGCATACATTAAATGTATAAATACAAACCTTGTAATGTTTTCAAAATAGATTTCATTAATGAAATAAATAAATATAAAGCAAACTATCAAAAGGAAAAAAAAAAACTAATTAGAGAAGGAATTTTTAACTGGGAACATTTTACGTAAAATTGACCTCTTTACAAAATGACATATTTATTTTATCACGCGAGAATAGTTAACTGGGGAGGGATGCTTTGACAACACAAATAAGACAGGAAAAACTTGACAAATAAGAGCATACTACTGAAGGTAAAGTGTAGGTAAGCCACCACAATACAGAAGGAGTTGGCATTTAACATATGGTATTTTAAGGTTCTCTCACCATAATTCTCATTTCTTTCACAAAAAAAATTAATTTTTTTTAAAGATATATATGTGTGTGTGTGTGAGTGTATAATATAAGTGAGTAGATATTTCCCCGTATATAATCCCTAAAACTTTAACATAATCTTTAATTAAGTCTGGGGAACGGCCAGAATGATTTCTCCGCCACTTATCTATTAGTAAAAGTTCGGGTTTTTTTTCATGGTTGATTGCTTATCCAGAGTCCTTTCCAAATTGCACGAGTTCGTATTAAATATTACTGAATGAGGAACCGTCTTTGTATAGTTACTAGTCATCGACATGTAGCAGTTAAATATAAAGTCGCCCCTCCCGCCCTAATTTGCTATCTTTTTCCATTGTACATTTGTATTTTTAATATTTGTATTCAGTGATTCTGTAGCAATTATATACAGTAGCATTCACAGAAGACACCCCTGTCTCACATAACTTTTGTATCGAGATATCCCCCGTCAATGCTCCATTTATTATTATCATTAAGGTTATTTTCTCGTACACTGCTTTCAATTAGTTTAAAATACTCATACCAAATTCACATGGTTTGGAAGCCTTTTCGATGAAGCCATGTTCTATAAGATCGAAGGCTTTTTTTTCCCTGATCGTTTCTCTCCTTTTCTTGTCAAATATAGTTCCAATAGATAGCATATTGTTGAATATACTTCTTCCCTTGTCCACATAGATTTAGTTGATATCTATAATTGTTTCGATGCAGGATTTCACTTTGTTTGTAATGATTTTACTTACAATTTTATAATCTGTATTATGTCGAGTTATTTGTCTCCAGTTCTTTAATTCAACTATATCCTTTTTTGACCTTTCCGGTAGGCTAGTTGTTAGAGCGTCCGTCTCAGATACGGGAGGTTGTGGGTTCGATTCCCCGCCGAATCATACCAAAGACTAGCAAAAATGATACTAACAGCTGTCTTGGCGCTCAGCAATAAGAGGTTAGTGTTGGAACTGGTTGGCCTTGTGTCAGTATAATGTGACTGGGTGGGACATCATGCCACATGTCTGCGACATGTTTCCCCAGTGTATGTATGTATGTATGTATGTATGTATGTATGTATGTATGTATGTATGTATGTATGTATGTATGTATGTATGTATGTATGTATGTATGTATGTATGTATGTATGTATGTATGTATGTATGTATGTATGTATGTATGTATGTATGTATGTATGTATGTATGTATGTATGTATGCATGCATGCATGTATGTACGTATATATACATACACATACACACACACAAACACACACACACACACACATACATACATACATTCATATATAGATACATATATATATACATTTATATTTACTTACTTTCTTAGATATATATATACAGATATATATATATATATTGATATATAGATATATAGATATATATATATATATATTTATATATATATATATATATATATATATATATATATATATATATATATATATATATATATATATCTCACAAGTTAATAGTTTTTAAAACTGTTTTAATAAGATGAGCAACTTCGAGTTGTCACTCATTTCTGTCTAGTTCGCTGGCAACCAAATTAAATCCCCTCCTACATTTCATTGATCTAGGGCTAAATCTTGAGATCAATAATTTGACGTTCCTCGAGAGCGAAATATGATATGAAGGCAGTAAGGAATTATACCATCATTAAGTGTTTCTTTACTTCTGGTTCAGAATACGGTACATTTGCAAGACTACAATCCATTTATAAGACTTAAATTAACCTTTCTTAAACCTGATAATGGTTATTTGCTATAAAGTTTTCATGAAATCAAATAATTTTTTTTTTTACTTCAGCTTACTTTTTATATTCTTTTTTCAAAGTTTAAATTAACATAAATTTGACGTTCATTATAATATATTCATATTTGTTACAGAGAATCTTAGTTTGAAATCAGAAATCAAAACTAAGTGAAAATTTAGATCCTTTTAATAGTTGAAGAATTATATTTATTTGAAAAAACAAAACAAGCAATTTCTGGTTTAAATTATTGTACATGATAAATAATGGTTGTCCAGTTTATTATTGCACAATATTGGAAAAGACTGGCAAAATATACTTATTTAGGTCAAGAGTACGAGATTTTAAAAACGGTAAATAACAATCGAGAACCGACTGCAAGGATCCTATCTGAAACGTACAGTATTACGGACAGAGGAACAGTTATTGTGTCATTTGAGTCTATAGACTTTAGGAATTCATTATCATTCACTCTGAAGGACAATACAGTGAAGTAGGCGTTAATTGTCGTGTCATCTTGTATAGTCAGAAGAGTAAAGAGAAGGTAATGAAGTAATCTTAAAACTACCTATTATTAAGTCATACAGTTTAAAGGCAGATTGATCCTAGGATAGACAGGAAATCTGGAGAATGAAAAACTATGTAGGTAGGTAGTGTAGTAAGTAGGACGGTATTTTGTTAGGTTTCTTTGACGACTGATTGTGTGTGTGTGTGTGTGAGAGAGAGAGAGAGAGAGAGAGAGAGAGAGAGAGAGAGAGAGAGAGAGAGAGAGAGAGAGAGAGAGAGAGAGAGAGAGAGAGAGAGAGAGAGAGAGAGAGAGAGAGAGAGAGGGTGTGTGTGGGCTATCTGTGTTACTTTGAACTGGAGCGTACGGCGTATGAACATATATCACCTAAGTAAACATTCACGATAGTCCGTAGGTTCTAAAAGTAGGACGGCGTCCTATTTTTTAACACCAGTGTAATACAATACCTCGTAACACCAACGTTATACAGTTCGTCCCCAGAGCTCTTCGATGCATATCTGAGATATCACTTACGATAAATCGAGCGTTAAAAGGGAACTTATCTGCAACTATTCGTAAGTACATAAACGCATGTAGAATATAATTCTTAGATTAAAAATGTCTTAAGGCCCCTCTTAACTAAAGACTTCCCTGTAGGATCAGATATGCAGAACAGGCTCTACGAACCTTTCTGCATGTCGCGCGCGCGCACACGTGTGTGTGTGTGTGAGTGTGTGTGTGAGAGATTTGGATTTTTAACATATCTTTGCAAAATTTTCAGTCATTTTGCCACGAAGTCTGCAATACGGCAGTTTACAGTGATCTCCAGCATTGGTGTATCATGCCACATACATGTACAACATACATACATACATACATACATACATACATACATACATACATACATACATACATACATACATACATACATACATACATACATACATACATACATACATACATACATACATACCTGCATGCATGCATGCATGCATGCATGCATACATACATACATACATACATACATACATACATACATACATACATACATACATACATACATACATACATACATACATACATACATACATACATACATACATACATACATACATACATACATACATACATACATACATACATACATACATACATACATACATACATATTAATTTTCTCTCGCTTATCTGCTGCTGATGTTCCTTGCAAAAGTGTTAGCGTTTTATAATTATATTGTGAATTTGTAGTTTGTATACCATATTAGAGATTCCGAAACTTACTGGGCTCTACGTAGCCAGTATTGTTCAGGACACCTTTACACTCGCAACTCCCCTGCCACTAATGAAAGATCAATTAAATAAGTTCCGTTTAAGTTGATCGTATGAAACAAAAGTCACCTGATGATTGACATGGCACTGGCAGTTGCAAAGTTCATCAAACTCCCCTCCCCTTCCATTTAACACTTGTATAGATTATCAAGGACGATCTATTCATAATGGGGATGTTCACTGGAAAAGTGCATATTGCGGTACATGTATATTGTGTGCATGTGATGGAGGAATAATATAATCTACATAACGTAAGGGACTAGTATCAGTCCGCATGTAAAATGTATCCAGTTTGCACACCAGTTTCGCTAACTCTTAGAATCTTAGAAGAAACAGGCGAGAGAGAGAGAGAGAGAGAGAGAGAGAGAGAGAGAGAGAGAGAGAGAGAGAGAGAGAGAGAGAGAGAGAGAGAGAGAGAGAGAGAGAGAGAGAGAGAGAGAGAGGTGGGGTAGGGAGAAGGGTTAAGACAATTCATTCTAAGAATAGTTTTAAAGAATCAAACCCTTTCTCAAGGTTACCTTACACAATGCGAAATATCCACGTTGAACTCGTCTGGTAACATGGAAACATGTCACAAGAATCCAAAAGAGTCAAAGATAAAATAAAAGATACAAAGTGAAATAACTCAAAAAACATGTCTTCTGATAATTTGTGTTATCAATTCTTTATAGACAGATGAAAAAAAACTTTAAATGATCCATGAATATCTTTTATATTACAATGTACTGAGTCAATCAAAAACAGCTTATTGACATACATATCAATGATACTTTTTAAAAATTGGATTCTATACATTGTGGTATATATGGGTTTCGGTTCGTATCAAGCGAGATAATATTAATCGTGTGTGCTTGAATTGAAGGTACGAGAGAGAGAGAGAGAGAGAGAGAGAGAGAGAGAGAGAGAGAGAGAGAGAGAGAGAGAGAGAGAGAGAGAGAGAGAGAGAGAGAGAGAGAGAGAGAGAGAGAGAGAGAGAGAGAGAGAGAGAGAGAGAGAGAGAGAGAGAGAGAGAGAGAGAGAGAGAGAGAGAGAGAGAGAGAGAGAGAGAGAGAGAGAGAGAGAGAGAGAGATTTTCATATTTAAGTAATAATAAACATTGCAATAAGTTTAAGAAACAAAAACAAAGCATTTAATACATTACAGTATGTCTTCCTTGTAAGAAACATAATTACATAGTGTTTATAGATTTTTGCAACTTTGTATCATTGATTATATAAACACAGTAGATAAATCCTAAGGACAGTGTACACATACCGTTACGACAAATCATGTTCTTATAGGTTACTTGGTTTAAGTTCAGCCTCAAAGTGTTTATCCAGCTCAATCAGTTTATCTCTCTCACTCCAGATTTCTGCGTATTCTGTCCCTTATGAATGAGAGGGGAGGGAGAACGGACAGCAGAAATAATTCCGATGAAGTTTTGTACCATGTTAAATTTATTAAGGTAACGGAGATTATCAATACATTTGATAGAACACCGGCCGAGTCATACCAAAGACTTACAAAAATAGTACTAACAGTTGCCTCGCTTGGCGCTCAGCATTAGAGGTTAGTGCAAAGACTGGTCGGCCAGGTGTCAGGATACTGTGACTGGATCTATATATCTGCAGCATGATGCCCTAATGCTAGACAAGACTATAAAGTGCTCGACTCAAGACATTTTAGCGATAGGACTGCAAAATTGCTAAATCTATGTTAAAATTCCAAATCACACACACACACACACACACACACACACACACACACACACACACACACAAACACACACACACATTGATTGCTATTTTCATAAGTCACTAATGATTATGTAGTGAAAATTCATCATTGATCTATAAACCTAGATCGATAGAACGGAGAATATTTAAATATGCATATTATTGCGCCATGAGCGGATCACAGTTTGCACTATACCAAAACTTTAAATGTCATTTTATTTTTAATGTATGTGGTATAAATATATAGTGACTGTTTGGTCAGGAAAGAATGAAATGTTTAAAGTATTAGTTGATAAGAGACATCAAATGTGGGTTAGATAATCCTATTCAGTCAGGAGTAATTGTTGAGTATTTATTTGATTTCTCTTAGTACCATTTTTTTAATCTGGTCAACATACGAACATTTTTCACACTCATTGACCTAGGTTACAGTTTAATAAAATCGGAAGTTTCCTTCATTATAAATATATCCAATGGAAGTAAATCTTACGTATATTTGTTCCTCTCATTTCAAGTCAAAACCCATCTACGCAGAACATTAGGACTCAATCCCACAAATAATCGTGTTATTTAAATATTTTT